GGTCGACAAGATGGACCCTAATGCCCTCTATATAAGGACTGTTTTTCCAAAAGTTTGTCTGCGGGATATTGTTCTCCCCCATTCCCCGACCTCCATGCCCCAGACCCCCACAGGACCCCACAATTCCCCATACTATCCAATTAACTTTTCCCTTTTTTTCTTTTCTTTTTCTTGAAAAGCGTCGTCGCACGTTGTACCAAGTCTGTGTTATTGTGGCGTTATGTAGGTTTCAGTCTAGTAATAAACACAGAGTGCTGCGTATCAGGATGACCGCACCTTCAGTCATAATTAGCGTGAAGGCTCAGAGTTAGGGCTGCTTAAACAGCTGAAATAGGGCCCGTTAGAAAGTCCTGAGCCCCTATCTATCTCTTCCCAACCCACTTCCATTAATATTCTCTTTCAAAAAATGCATTCGCATTACAACCAGCCCAAATTCCAACGTACATTCATTGTGTAATATTACACACCTTAAGCCTTTTGCTGGAATGGCCGGGAACTTACGACCCAACATGCCTAACTCGATTTAGTAATGAGCGACTCACGTTCCCGAAGTTTACCAGAAACTTTCCCCGCACCCCCACTCCTTCCCCCAAAAGACGTTCTAGGGTTGGTCAAGTGACAAATGGAAGGAACAAATGGAAGGAAACCACCCGGAACCGGCACGGGCGAGTCTTCCAACTCTTCATATGCCGACCCGGACGGCTCCGTTAGACCGGGGATTGGCTGGGGCCCCGAGTGTTTTTCCCCGAAGACATCCCGATAGGAACACAAACCCGGGGGAATCAAGCCGACGGGGAGATACCGAGACAAATTCTGAAACCATTACCAATATTTAAACCACGTCTTCCGTGTCTTGGGCTAAACATTGAGGCCAGGTATTTCAACCTTGGGGCTATAGCTTCTACATCTAACCAGTCTCTTCCCGTTTCACGTGCAAGTACGGAGTAGACCACTTCACCTCCATATTTTTTCACGATGCCTCAGCTCTGGCACTGTATTATATAATATATAATATGGAGCCGTAATACACATAGTGTTGCCGACGATATCCCGGGCCCAATACCAGAAGAAGAAACTTGTCTAGCCTGACACATGCGGCGGCTCGGACCTCGTCCGAGATTGGTCACATGGAATGCCACCCCATCATCCATCCCTACATGGCAAGTTTCGCCCACGCTCACCCTGTCTATTGGGAGCGCCAAAAAGTAAAAATCCCCTCTGGTCAAAGTCGCCTGTAGTGAGGCAATTCCCACTTTACATCTAGACTTGGTTATATTCAATCCCTCTATATTAAACCACTCAAATAAGAGTTGTGCTTGAGCATGTTAGTAACTTTTCTACTGTCGGGAATCCCGTCTGCATCTGCTGCCAAGAGGGATAGCCATAGTCCACACGGGTTGATTGAGGGCTTATGAAATTATAGTTTGGAAGAAAACTTCCCCGGCTTCCCCTGCTCCGAGTGTTGATGTCATGAGATATTGCCACCCGAACCTTCGGACCAAAACCGATCCCGTATAACCCCCCCATGGGATAGGATCGGCGGACCTGAATATCCCCAAACCTTGTATGATTTACCCATGGGGTTCCTCACCGAAATCCGTTTCTGTATTCTCGCCCCCTCATCACTCCGTACCAAGACAAGTACCATTTCTGAATAATTCTCGTGAGCTCAGAGAGGGAGGTATCGCGAGTCTAGAAAGACTAGAAAGAGAGCATTCATGTCAGATCTTAGGCTCATTTCCCACTAACAGCGCTTTACCGGCCACCTGTACTCCGTACCAGAAGCATATGGGAACCTAATACCCTCAAGCATTTCGATCTTTCAGTCTAGCCTATCTAACGACATCGGGATTGCTAGAGCGATCTGCAATTACTCCCCGTGTCCCCGTACTCCGTACAACATAGGCTTTGTGGTCAAGTGGGACTCTCAACCTACAGTAGAGCCGCCAAATTCGTTGGTATCTTTCTACCACTTGTCCATTGACCGGAACCTAGTATATAGTCCAGAACCTAGTATGTAGTCGCCATAATTGACAAAGCTAAAGTCCAAGCCACGTTCCCCGCAAATGATCCTTACATCCGCAAAGACAGTTTCTGCACGCCTCAGAGCCCCCCCGGTTCCTCTTCATCCAACGCATTTCGCCACCAGGAACAATCCCCATCTGAAAGGTCTCCGGTGAAATCTTCCCACAAACCAAAGAACTGTTGCTCTCTGATACCTAACAAGCGCCTTGGCTGCCCATCAAGCATAGAATCCTCGGGCCTCAAGACCAGACAGCAGAATCTCGTTCAGAGCTATATTAGGCTCCACCCAGCCGTGGTGTCTAAAGGATTACGGATCGGCATTCTCGATTGCTCTGGTGCCACAAAGCTAACCAAATTCTCAAACTAAGCCTGCGCTTCCGGTTCGCAAATATCAACCCCGTATATATATATCTCGGTCCGATTCTCGGACTCCCGAAACCGGTTCGCAACGCCAACATGATTTATTCGTATGTGTCATTTATTAAGGCATCTACCATGTAGGAGCCAACAAGAAAGGAGGGGGAGAGTTGATTGCTACGGAGAGCGAGCTGCCTAACGAAGGTACGGCCCTTATAATGGAACCAATCTCCAATAGCGTTGTGAAAGCCTGATATTTGCCAGCTGGCTGAGGTCAGCTTAACTTATGTTTATACTCGTATTTTTCGGACAATAAAAGCATGAAAGAATACCCCAAGTACCGATTTTTCCAAGCATTTCATTTAATGAAAGTCGGGAACTGTCTTCAAACTTACAAACACCAATGAGTATTAGGAGTCTGCCCCCGGATTGCTATTCTCCAACCTCACGGTCGGTATCCCAGTGGCCATATTTGCGCATAAGACGCCATTTCCATGTCGTTTGCCGAATGCCCTTGCCCCAGAAATAAAATACAAGGCCCATAAGCATAATGATGCCAGAAATGAAAGCCATCTCCCCAAATGCCTTGCCGTATCCTTCCATGTCAATCCAGGGATTTGTATAAAAGGAGAGCAGAAATCCAAACGCAGCTATAGTAGATCGTCAGTTTCAGAACTCAACGAGCCTTTCGCATCGAAACATTTGACGAAGAGGCTAGGAGGATACTAACCTTTAAACGCTAATATCGAAACGGTCACTTCACCGACAGCAGGTCTGTAGCAGTCGATCACGTATACCATGGCCACATTAGTGGCCTGCACAATTGCAAAGTTCAGCAACCCAAGCCCCAGTGTGGGAACCATCCAGTGCAACTGGTTGTCGATTCCAACACCGTACAGGATCAAAGCAACCGGAGCAAGTGTACCGCCAATAACAATGGAAGGAAGACGCATTTCAGGTTCTCGAATGCCGCCATTGCGTTGGGTGAACCAATCTGCACTCCAATCCGAGATATGACCTCCAAATGCAATTCCAAGGAAAGATCCGACCATACCGGAAACAAAGCAAAGCCCAGACTTCCAGGCCGGAAAATTGTATGCCATTGAGAATGCCGTGGCAAAGTTAGACGTGATGGCTATCAGAAATCCAATTGTAACAGCAAAGACGAGTGATGCCCAAAGGACGGGTGGCAGCATGATGAGGATTATCGGGCGTATGAAAACTCGATATAGTGACTCCGACGTGAATGTGCCAGGAAACAATTGTAAAGACTGAATGTATGTTTTCTTTGCAGGAGGGCCAGAACGGACGACAGTCTCGTGATATTCGGATGAATGCGACTCCAGACGGTCGGCCTTGTCCAAGCGATCATCATCCGGGACAGCCACTCCAGCTTCTTCAATATGCCTATTGAATGTGGTTTCTGGGAAAGTGAAGATTACCAAAATTGTGACGGCGCCAAGGAGGGCAGATCCAACATAGTATATATACCGCCAATCGTGAGACATCACAATGAGACCATCGACAACAATCCCACCTGCAGCACCCATAGATAGCGCGGCAGTATATGTTGCCATGACTGCACCTCTCTCATGAAGGAAAAATATGTCTGCAATAGTCAGAGGGCCGAGACATTCGCCAGCTCCAGCAGCGAGGCCCATAATGATGCGGCCGGCCAACTCCACCCCGTAGGCTCTGGCAAATCCCGACCAAAGGCTAGTGGCGAAGTAGAGGATGAACGAGAAGATATAAACAGGGCGTCGGCCGTACTTCACAATAAGGGGCATCCAAAAGAACATGCCAATTCCTTGGCATAGCGCAGTTGTACTGTAGAAAAATGCAATCTTCGAGATATGGGAACTGAAATCGGGACCCTTGGGTCCTAGGAAGTCCACAGTTGTTTCCTCTATCGCAACGGTTGGACCAGCCACGAGGAAGTTGCAAAAGAAAACTGCCAAACACACAACGATAACGATATAATACCGAAACGCCCGCGACCTTATTTGGGCATCGTGTTATTAATGCCCGCTAGCTCTGAACAGGGGCGGGCCTTACCAGTTGAGGGGATCATTAGGATCCCTGGATGGGGTCGGGATCAGGATGATCTCGTTGGTCTCATGATGCCGAAGACGCAAACTTCCCAATGTATTTTCCTGGATGCCATCGTGCCGAAGAGTTGTTGTCTTAGTCTGCATTGTAGGTGGAAATAGTCATATAGGTGAAAGAAAGTCAGGGGGTTTGAACGCTAATGAGAAGTTGAGCTGCCAAACCATCGAGGTTGATTTGACGTTTCCGGCACCCCCTCTTGTACAAACATATTATTGGTCTAGTTTTGATATTCGTACTTGGATTTGACACCCATCGTTCGGGAAGTGGACAAGGTTTCTTACCCCACACTATCTTACCCGAAGAGTCATTACCCCACGTCTTACCCGGCGGGGAAGCTGCGCGTTCTGTGGGGTTTCTCTCCATCTGCCGAACTGGAAAAATGAACCGATGAGAACCTTCTCGACGATGATGATTGTTGATTGTCAAAGGTATATTAAACTTGGCTAGTTCCTCCAGATTACCCTTTTCCCACCTTGCACAATCCTCATCAATCTGGACCACAGCCCACCATGCAAATTATTTGGCGTGAATCATCTGACGATGCAACATATGAGGAGGCACGCGTCGGCCGTGTCTTCAATCATCGTCGTCCTCAACGATTCCCACTCGCAGTTGTAAAAGCTACCTGCGAGGATGATATTGTGGCTGCAGTCAAACTGGCCGCGGAGCGTAACTGTCGTGTTGCCGTTCGCTCTGGTGGACATTCCTGGGCTGCTTGGAGTGTTCGTGACAATTCGATTTTAATCGACCTTGGGAACTACAAATACTTGGATGTAGATCCCGCGAGAAAGATGGCCATAGCCTCTCCTAGCATGACTGGGAGAGAAATCAACTCGGTCTTGGTCAATCAACATGAACTGATGTTTCCTGGAGGTCACTGTCCGGATGTTGGCATTGGCGGATTCCTCCTTCAGGGTGGAATGGGTTGGAACTGTCGCGTACGTATTCGGTGATGATTCAACCCGATCACGATTACTGATGTCGTTTAACACAGAACTGGGGCTGGGCCTGTGAGCGAGTTCAGGCAGTGGATGTTGTGACTGCCCAGGGAGATCTGGTTCATTGCAATTCTGTGCAGAATCCGGACCTATATTGGGCAGCGCGAGGGGCTGGACCAGGTATGCTCACTTTGGATTCCTGTTCATGATTATCCCTAACTCAATCTTCCAACAGGGTTTCCGGGCATAGTAACAAAGTTTCATCTGGATGTGCTCCCGTACCCGAAGCGAGGGTTCCGATCGTCGGGTTACGTTTATCCCATTTCCATGTATCGCGAAGCATTCCAATGGGTTCTGGACATATCTCCTAGCTTCGACCAGGACACTGAAATTGCGGCCATCGCCCATTATCCGGATAGTGACTCCGAGATGGTCTTTTTCGTGCTTTTTGTTACGATGAAGAATGACCCGGATGAAGCAGAAGCAGCCCTCCGTTCCGCCCAAGAGACACGACCAGCAGGCTCTATTGAAGAATGGTTTTGTCAAGAGGACAGTCTTGAGAAGCAATATGTCAATCAAGCAGACAAGAACCCGGAAAGGCACCGTTACTGTACAGATAATGCGTATATCCATAATGATGCCGATGTACCTGGTGTTCTCGAGGAGGCATTCACTACTCTCCCCCCACAAGAAAGCGTTTTCGCTATGGTATGCGATGAACCCGTGTAGTCGGCGGAAGCTCCCTGATATGGCCCTCAGCATGCAATCTGACCATTACTTTGCTCTCTATACTGTATGGGAGGAAGAAAAAGATGACCCTCGCTGCCTGGAATGGGTTCGCAATGTGATGAAGAAGGTAGAGAGGCATTCAGTTGGAGCATACCTAGGGGATTCCGACTTCCAAGTCCGCAAGACCAAATACTGGTCTGATGAGAATGCCAAGCGACTGATGGAGATTCGACGCAGTTTCGATCCCCAGGGCAGAATTTGTGGCTATTTGGACCAAGGGGATCTCTCCGGCACGAAGGGGCTGGACAATGCTCACCAATGGAAAATGTGATGATGGAAACGAAGGAAGAGCCCAAGACCACGCCATGTACCAAGACCACGGCATGTATTCACAAGGTATTCCTGCTGCAACTACCTAGATTAGAAACTACATTAGCAGTCGTATACAATGCATATTCTTTCATCGTCATTTCTGCTCTCTGTCGCTTGTTAGCCACCAAGATCCAGTCTGGTTGATGCAAACTTATGAAATGACGAAGCTAAATCTACTCCTGTACGTTGTATACCCTATTTTATGTTTTCCTGGAGATCTAATGAAAACAACACACATGATTAACACTTTGCTTCGTTATTGAGAACGTAGTTCATTGCCTTCATTTGGTAAAAGAGAGATCTGTCACTTGGATGAAGTTTGGTTTACTATTCACTAAATTATTGGGGTGGCATTAATGTGTCATGCGAAAAATCATAATTGTCCCTCTGAACTACAACCTAGCACTGGTTAAGGCCAAACCCCGGTTTGAACTGTGTGGAGGAGTTGCCACGAAGGAAAATATATTCGGGAAGTGGGGAAGTGGGGATATTTCCGAGGTCATGTTGACCAGCTTACGAATGTCTTGCGTAGACATCGTCAGGTGTTCCGGGTAACTCAATTAGGTTTGGAGCTCAAAGGGGGTGTTCCTACCTAGTGACCCAACTGGGGTTTTGCCGAGGTCTAGTCTTCAATGGGCGCAAATCGGAGCCGAACTCCATCAGGCGGGGCAACATTCCTGTATGGAGAGTTGCAGCATATTTTGTCACTTGATCCGTTCAGGCCAAGGAAGTTCCTCCCAAGTTTCACATCAGTCCAATTTACCCTTGGACAGTCCCGTCTAAGCGTGAACAAGACACCAACCTAAACACCCTTCACGTCCAGCCTCATCACCAAAACACTTTTTCAACATGGACAACAAAACTTTATCAGGCAAAGTGGCCATTGTCAGTGGCTCCTCGTCCGGTATAGGGGCAGCAATTGTTCGCGAACTATCTACGAGAGGGGCCAATACCGTTATCAATTATCCATTCCCACATCTAAAGGCAGAAGCAGACGGCGTAGCTGCATCTCTACCATGTCCATCAGTCACAGTAGAGGCCGATATGTCAACTACGGCTGCTCCACAAAAGCTGGTCGACGCTGCTGTCGCACGCTGGGGAAAGATTGACATCCTCGTGAATTGCGTTGCATTGGCAGTTAACAAGCCGCTGGAAGAGCAGACACTCGAAGACTGGGACCTTTTGGTAAACATAAATGGCCGAGGAACGTTTCTTCTAACGCAAGCCTGTCTCCCACATCTTACCAAAGGCAGTGGGAGGATTGTCAACATTGTCAGTATTTCCGGTCGTGGTCCTCCGCCCAACCAGACAATTTATGCGGGCACCAAGGGAATGGTAGATTCTTTTACCAAGTGCTGGTACGTTATTTTCGATTCTGGGTTACTATAAATCACTGATCAGGAATAGGGCAAAGGAACTTCCCCCGAAATACGGGTGCACTGTAAATGCAGTCAGCCCGGGGCCAACAAAGACCGAAGGCTTTGCTGCGGCCGGTGAAGAGCAAATGAAAGTACTTCAACCAATTATTGAGTGCACACCGGTGGGACCGAGAATGGCAGAGCCCGAGGAGATTTCATTTGCCGTTGGGTTCTTGTGTGAGGAAAGGGCACGCTGGATCAACGGTGCTCATATCGTTGCATCCGGTGGGCTGTTTATTGATTAGGCACAAAGCAATAGTTGGTGTCACCGTCAGGTGGCCTGGTCTCCCCTTGAGGGGGGCCGCCTTAGCTAGTGGATATATCATCTTATCTTCCTGGAAGCTTTCAGAGTTACTGGTAGCATGTCCTAGCTGAGCCAGAGTGATTTTCATAGTGGAAACGCTGTCAAAATATTTTTTAACGATAAAAGGTCCTGGGCGTTAACACTAGAGCCGATTGGGGCGATAGTCTACGCCGGCGTTATTCGTTAGGTATTATATACGCGTCTTGTTGTATGTTTAAACGTAAGATATAGATTTAACCAATTGCTAATTATATATTGATTAAAATGCAAAGATATCACCCCGACGTAAAGGCTAGAAACGGAGTCTGTTTACACAAGGTAATTAATCTTTCAAAACGTTTGCATTTTTTTGTGTTCATTGGGCCTAATAGGCCCTTACTCAAAGCTCACGAGTGGGTTGGGCTTTGCGGAGGTCTAGGCCATAGTACGAAACATACCATACATAAGTGCTTAGATTAACTATGGTAGAGCTGCACGGAGAAAATACATTAAGCAAGTATCTGTGATGCCTGGGGCCACTCCCCGATGGTGAATTGGGAATTGCACATGTTTGTCAGTTCCCATGTTTCTGCCATTAGCCTTCCAGTTGTCCCCAAATCGGCTTCGCTGCCGGCTGCCCCAGCCACAAATACAGCAGGCATGTAGTGATCATCCGTGGCATGGGCGTCTCGGTAATGAGGATGCTTCATGAGACGAGTCATTGCCCGGCGGAGAGCAGGCCCGCTGTTGTTTGTTAGGGCGTCTTCTACTGCCTGGCGAAAATCTAGAGCCCATTTCTCAGGTGGTGTTTCCTGGGAAAAATTGTCACTATATCGCAACATGGGCCCCCAGACATTGCGATACAGGTTATGTACCGCACCACCGGTTCCAATGATCAGGTAGTTCTGTTCGCGTAGTGGCCGTAGAGCCATACCAGCACGCATGTGAAAGTGTGGATCATACTGCATGTTGGTGGATATAATGGTCGTAGGGGGGCACCGATCAGGAAACATGCGAATAAGGATCAGATAGGTATCGTGAATCCATTGCAAGCTCTCATTGGCGTGCACATCAAAACCCTCGGCGGATAGGAGGTCGATACACTTGCGCCCACTGTCAAGATCCGGCACAAGCTCGTAGTCGACATACTTAGACGGGTGCACATACGCCACGGGAGACTTAGTGGGACGAGGATTCATCGAAACTTCGAGGCGTTTGTTTCCTGAGCAGCCCCAGTGGGCACCCTCTTCCGGCGTGAGTACATAATCTCGTTGGGGAACGGGAAGCATACCATGATGATCACACCCTTAATGCCATGGGCCAGAGCTTCATCGCCGCATTTCTTCCAGTACTCGGCGGACTCGGATTCTTCCCCCAGCATCATGGTCGAGCCGTGGGAAAAGAAATGCACTGGTGTGAGCGCTGAAGAGTGAGATCAGACAGCGAGTTCAGGCAGACTCAGTTGGGACTGTACATACACATAGCGGAGTAATCCGATGCCAATGAGGATGATATTGTAAGATGTTTGGTCAAAATGGAGGTTGTGTGTTGCTTCTTTTCTATCAAGTGTGTACTGCACATCATCAGAATTCGGTAATTCTATCCCCCACATTCCGAAATCGGGACCACATTCCCCGCATTTCGAAGGTACTCTATACTTATCCTCCGCCTCTCGTTCAGCTTGACAGGATCATACGATATCCGTTGGTTTGATCATTGATGGCTTCTCCACGCGCTCCCCGGACCTCCATGCCCACCAACCTGTTCCAGTGTGGAACCTGTTCACAATCCTTCACCCGCATTGACCATCTAGGTCGTCACGTCCGCTCCCGTACGTTCATCTGTCGGGCCCTCCTGTGCAACGTGTTGGCTGACTTCATAGCATTGTGTAGATACACAGGAAAAGCCGTACCGTTGTTCCGTGTGCAACAAGCGGTTCGGTCGCGTGTGAGGCCCATTCCCTCGGTCATTAGACAAAGCCCGTCAGCATACTGACGTGCGGAATACACAGTGACCTATTGTCCCGCCATTCAGCTCTTCATGACCCCCACAGAGAGTCCGCCGGCACTAAGCGACGGTGTACCGAGGGTAATAGCGCGCCAATCCGCGTGTCGCAGGCCTGCGAGGGCTGTGCCGAGAATCACCTCCGCTGCGACGATGACAAGCCCTGCCGTCGATGTCAACGGAAGGGGATCCGCTGTAGCCTGCCCACTGGATATGTGGAGGGTGCTCCACCGACTCCTGTGACTCGGCTAGAGGCAAACTCTCCCGGCAATGCCAGGAATTCATCATCGCCATTACAGCAGCCACATCAGCCACAGCAGCCACATCAGCCACATCAGCCACATCAGTCACAACAGTCACAACAGTCACAACAGTCACAACAGTCACAACAGTCACAACAGTCACAGCAGCCACAACAGTCACAACAGTCACAGCAGCCACAACAGTCACAGGTTGTCGGTGCATTGGGCTTCACCAATCAAATAGAATCGGTGAATCCCGGCAACTTGTCCCAGCTGGCACCAGGTCGGGCAACTGATGTAGAAGCAGAGTTGACGTCAAGGCAAGATGCCTTGGGGGGATATTCCGCCGTACTCCCTCCAGACCAGGAGAACTCATCGCCAGATCTCTCCCCAATCACCAGGGGGGGATTGGTCGCCTTTGGGCTAGAGACTAATCTCGACCTGAGTATGGTCGACCTTAGTTTCCTCGAGTCATACAACGCGCGTGCGCCCTTCGAGTACGAAGCCGCAACGGCGTCCACTCTTGCACCGTTGGTGCAGGTTGTTGAGAACGAAACCACCCAGCCAGATCATGCAGCAAGAGAGGGTCAGTCCGTCCAGCGCCTTCGATGGCGGTTTGTGCCTGTGACTCAAGATCATGGCTATGCTGAACACGGTAACTTGCTACTCGGCGACCAGGTCGGGCCTGATAGCCCCCAAACGAGTCTCCGGAATTTGGACATGGGACCTGCTCCTGAAAATTGCCTCGACCTGGCGTCGCGTGACAAGATCTTAAGTATTATGTTGAGCCAGATGCCACAACCCTTCTCGCTAAACGCGGCCTCGTTCCCTTCTCCCGAGCTGTTGGATAGGCTCATTCGATATTATCTAACGGTGCCCTTTTCCAGCGCGGGCGCCTGGATCCATCGAAGCACCTTCACACCCAATAAGTCTCGCGCAGAACTCCTGCTTGCCATGGCTGCGGCGGGTGCAGTGCTTACTCCCGATTTGACATTGCGGAAGCTCGGGTTTGCAATGCAGGAGGTTGTCCGACATCGACTCCCCGCCGTATTCGAGGCCGACAACACCCTGATCCGAGATCTCGAGTTGCATCAGGCATTTCTCCTATGCCTGGAAATTAGCTTATGGAGTGCCAATAGTCGCAAGATGGAAATATCTGAAAGTTTCCGCCAACCATTGATTACCATGCTGCGACGCCGAGGCCGGTTTGATGCCGCCAGATATCCGGTCATCACCGTGCATCCAGCCGACACAGACCAAATCCTTGAGGACAAATGGAGGCTCTGGGTCCGAGAGGAGTCTATCAAGCGTTTAGTCTACCACTTACGGCAACACGACGCACATTGTTCCATGATGCTTCTGACCAGCCCCCTTATCTCCTACGCCGAGTTATCACTTCCTCTTCCGGCTTGCCCAGCTCTGTGGAACGCTCCTGATGCAAAACACTGGAAAGAGCTTCTCTGTGCCCAGCAGGCTAGGGGCCAATCCGTCTCACGCTCAACGCCTCTCACAGAGTATGTGTTGAACATGGATCTACTTGAGAGCCACCGCCACATGATAGACATGAGGCTGTCTTGCACTGCCGTACTGCACGCTCTGTGGGGTTTAATCTGGGAGTACCGACAGATGAGTTTGCTTACTAGCAATCGCAGTAACAGTAGCAACAGCCATAATAGCGCCATACTCGGTCGTTCTGGACTCCAGTCTGGCGGCTTGCTAATGGCATCGCGGCATCAGCAGCTCACTGAGATGCTAAACTATTTTGGCATCGGGTACAAAAATGAGAACGCCTTGTACTGGCACAGCACCCTGATGCATATGCACATGTCCCTCGAAGAGATCCAGCTTTTTGCGGTCTCATTTGAGCAGTCTGAACCAGTCGACCGGATTCCTCCTACAATCGAGGCATGGTCAGAGAGCAAGGAAGGCCGCCAGGCTGTGTGGCATGCCGCCCAAATCATCCGTGAGATTCGGGCCTTGGCACCGCAGTGTTTGCGTGACTTCGCCGCGGTTGCCCTGTATCACTCGACCCTGGCGATATGGGCGTATGGTATGGGAATAGTGAATCTAACGGACACAGCCACTGCGAAGATGCCCATTTGGCTTGATTCACCTGAAACCGAACATGTGCAGAGGTTCATTTCCTTTGGGCGAGGTCAGCCAATGCTGCATGGGGACACCCCCGAAGTTTCCACCGTAGACTTGTGCGATCCGACAACAGTTTTAACCTTGACCCTTCGGTTGATGTGCCATAATCATAGTGGCCCCGATGCCCATGAACCCCCTCTGGTGAAGAATATTGTGCATGCTGTTCAGAAGCTACTCGAGGTGACCACATGGTCCCGGCAGATAATCATTGAATAGATAACACTATTACTATGCATATTTATTCCCTACAAGAAGCAATGACTACCACCTTAGAATATTAGATGCGAGATCCATGCCTTTGCACCACAGTCCACGTCCAATAACCCAGAGCACTCACCCCCGCGAGTATCGGGATCGAGAACAAACCCAGCCCTGTCAGAATACCTTGCTCAAAGAACCCTACGCCTCCACCCAGGGGCCGCTGAGTTGGGGAGACCAGTTCACTCGACTGCAAAACCAGTGTACTCCGCAAGGCTGAGGCTGATTTGATACGTAGAATATCTGCGACTGATTGCGACAGCAGAGTAGGGCTGATATACTGTGGGCGAGGAACAGAGAAGATCGTGGTAGGATATCGCATTGATCGGTCGAAGGCCACTTGTTTGGGGGGAGTCGGTCCCACTAAAGGTTATAGAACTATGTTAGCCGTTCAAATGTTGTTTCAATGTTGCTTAAATACGACCCCCTTACCCAGGACTTCCACAGGGATGTGATTGACAAACGAGACATCCGCGTTAATGAACTGCGCCAAATATTTGGCAGACTTCTCGTGAGCGAAGACGTACGCTCCGCGAAGGTTTCCGACCCTAATAGACCAGTCAGTTTCTGGTTTTTCACGACACGCAGTTCACTCACATATTTGACAAATCGATGGCATGGTCTAACGAGCGCACGGTATGCACCAACAACCGGCCATCAGTAGGCTTACCCGGTAGCGCTTTGGGATCTCTATTTCAAGCTCTTTTTTAGCAGGAGTAATCGATTCCGGGAAGAATGATGGTAACTGTACAGTTTGTCTGCGTCCACAATTTTGCCTCTGCCCAGCGATGATACGATCCGTAGTCCCCCTCTTTCCCCTTGGTCTTCTTTTCCTTGCTGTCCCTCGTCTGATTGGATTGCACCTGCGCTCGGCAGAAAGGACACGCTTGCCTGCACCAAGGCCATTAGGAACGCTTCCTTGATGTATTCATTGACAAGGACTAGGTCGGGCGCGTAGGGTGACCGGCCACCGAAGCTGAACCGAGCTGCTACGAGTGCCTCAGCTGCTTGGTTGATGTTTGCTGTGCGATCCACAACAGCCACTACCTTCCCGGGTAGGTGGTTATCTTGATGAAGCCGCATATGTTGCGCTCCGAGATCCTCGTCCGTTGCTGGAGTCGAGACAAATGCGATTGTCCTGGGATCAAGCGACGACTCCAGAAGCTTCTTGATCAACGCAGGAAGGGCTTGAAGAGAGTTGGACAGCTTTGTAAATGACAAAGTTAGCGAGGTGTACCTTGTTGATTGTCGAGAGTGTGGCATACTTCAATAACGATGCAATTACCAGCAGTAATTGCGCCAGCGACAGCGACTAGGACCGAGTAGAAGACTGTATACCTTGTTGGAACAATGTATACAATTCCCACGGGGTCCCGTCGGTTGGCAGCATCCTCCCCTCTTGCAATAGCATACTCTTCCTGGAGTGCGCGGTCGATGTTCAAAGACTTATGGTACTCCTTTAAGGTGTTTAGTGTGAGGAGATACTCCACGGCGGCCTCGGAGGCGACATAACTGGTGTCAGCGAGGATGGCGTCCTGAATGGCGTCGGCTTTTTCAAGCAGTGTTTGCTGAACGGCCTCCAGCTGGGTTCGGCGAGTGACTATGTTGTGCATGCGGCCATCGAGGACAGCCTCACGAACAGCTCGAAGGGAAGCAGCCATGGCGAATTATTGAACAAAAATGAATAGATTCATTCACAATCAAAGATGCGAGCTTTGAATCCTTTGATATTTTCCGATCCGTGCTCTTGGCTGTCGGGTGTGATGTTACTTCGGGAGGAGGTGGGCCACATTCCCGATGCCGGGGTGAGTACACCCCCATTTCCGCCTGGCCATTTATATCGCATTTGCTTTGTGGCTACTTTTACCACATAGACATTCACGGACAAACAGGTCTTTCAACATGATTTCACCCGCATCAACATCCACCACCCCTACCGCTTCCGCTGCCAGTATTCGCACTGCCCGACTTCGGGTGCGGGGATACCCAGCAGATTACGATGTATACGAGTCCAAGGGGGCTGACTCGAACTCTCCATCACAGCAGGTTGGGATCGGAGCCACTGCTGGAGAAATTAGAGCCCATAATCCTGCCGGGTGGCCAGATGACTATCGCCGTATCCCACCGCACCGGCCGATTAATCGGCATCTTGACCAAAGCCAGCGAAGGGTGTACACAAGCCTTGGAGAGCGGGCATTTTTGACCGTAATGTTTACTGGATTGGAAATGAATGTGGTGAGTGGTTCCTTCTTCTGCCCACATGCCGGAGATTTATGTGCTAATTATGACAGGTTGCAAACCGTTTGTGGAAGGTCACCGGGGAGCGACTGTCTGAAAATTTGTTTACATATAAGCTGGGCGGCGAGTTTTGAGCGCGTAGCTCATAGTCGAAAGTACATCATGATATATAATTAACTTTCTGCATACAATATGTTTTCCGACATGCTACATATTGAAGAGGGGAACGTTCGAGGAAGTATGCTCTCTGGCATATGGGTCGATTCAGCAGCTGCAATTCAATTTATATCTCCCACGGCGTACAAAGGGAACCGGGGCAGCAGTTCAAGAAGGGAAATCAGAGAGGTGTAGGAGTGTGTATTGTCAATCTGTAACTATCTGCTACTTGTAACCTCCAAAGCACTAATTTCTAACATCATCGTCGCCTGCATAAATGAACGGCAAGGCGTGGCAGCAAAGCAATAAAGGCCATGTTCCCTCTGAGCCCAACTCACTATTTAATCATCCTTTGGTGGAATGATAGGCAAGGAGATGTAGTTTTGAAACTGAGGTCCGAAATGTATGTGATTGAGCCCATGAAACTTCTCCTTTGACCTATTTCAATTGCCCCATTGTCAGCTATCGTTTCGTGTTCGCTGTTGGTGGAATACTTACCGATCAATTGGGGAGTTATGCTGGAAGACGCCGCATCCCTGTGTATCGCCTGATGCAACTTCCAAAACGATTTTGCCTCCCTGTTCCACCACGACGTTTGTTGGCCAAATCTCAACATCCACTGCGTATATATCACCCACAATGACTGGCTCCACGTCCGTGCTCACATAGTTTCGCTGCGGTAGCCATGCACGGTGCTTGTGGTGATTGGGATCAGTCTTGCGCAAACTAACACGTAGCCAGCCCTTGGTTAGAGGTACAGGGTCGCCGGCAGTGCCCGTGTAAAAGACCTCCTGACCAGCCGGAGAGATATATCGCAGCGTGAGGAAGAGATCAATGTCAGAGGGGACAATCTCGCTGTCTGGATACGGGGTGACCGAAACGTTCAGATGTGCTGTAATGTGACCGGTAATCTCTGTCTCTTGCGTAAAAGGCTCTGTCTCAACTCTCACCAGCTGCGGGTTGTCGAGTGTGCCTAGAGCAGGATAAGAGATCTTTGTCACGGGCAAGTCCTTGACTACAGTCTCGTCACTGGTTAACCTTCCGTCGGTGTGCAGGAAGAAAGGGGTGTACTGCGTCCGGGCAATGGGCCACTCGTTTTCGCTCCGCCGGCGGTATGCCTGCTCGGCCTTCGCATCGTTGAAGCCAACGTCTCCCTTGCGCAGGATAATGCTCACAGGGGGCAGCTTTCCAGGAATACTCCAGCCCTCACGATCCTCATCTTTGAGGAAAGCATCTAGGAAGCTGCGCTGGACCTCTACCTCCGCTTGGTAGTAGAAGGGCAAATCGTGTCGACCGGTAATGAAACGCAAGTATTTTAGGGGGGATCCTGCCCACGTCCAGCCCTCGACATTGCCGCGCAGATGTAGACAAATCCCACCCCAATTGGCAACGCTAAGCACGGGCACTTGAATATCACCCATGTTATACTCTTTAGAGGCGTAGTATGGTTCATCGCGGAATCTGTTAGTCACATTGTCCTGATTTTGATCGCGACGGTTGGCAGCCAGTTCCTCTTCTGATAGATTGCCCTCGATGGTGTCGGGCCCCCAGTTACGTGCAGCACGTCCTGGTACCCCGTACTGGTTGGTGATGACTTGACGGTCCCACCAGAATTTGATGAATCCATTTGATAGAATGCCACCTTGTCGACAGCGATCGCGATAGTAATCTGACATCCCCTCCCAAGGAATTATAGCTGCCAGCCCTTTCGGCTGCCGGGCAGCGACGCGCCACTGACTGCCTCCGTAGTAGCTGCCGAGGGAGTTAGATCCATATAAATTACAGGAACAGAGAAATCTCACCTGATACCCAGCAGACCAACTTTTCCTGAGGACCATTTTTGCTCCGCCGCCCATTCAATGAGGTCAAAGAAAGCCTCACTCGTTCCTCGGGACATGGTATCCAATACGCCAGGCGATTGACCAAGGCCTCGCTCATCAGCGCGCACTACCGCATAACCATGGCGGGTCCAGAATCCGGGATCAGGTGTCTCCCACGCTGAATGTGCCGAGTGGTGCTCCGGATTGACTTCGGCGAAGGAGGCGGGATGGAAGCTATTTCAGCACATCAGTAAAGAAGGCCGGTATATAGGCAGCGGGAGATTTCTGGCTGGTTACTTTTCATAATGGATGTCTTTCCCATAGGGTCCATACGTCACGATCACTGGAACACGCGCATCGGTCTTGGGTCGATACACATTGCAGCGAATAAGACCACCAGTCACTTTGGGTCGAACGGTGACATTCTCCTCGAAGATGTATGGGAAAGAGGTAGTGTCCGTCTTCTGGATATCGCGGATAGAATTAGGCATTGTGTCAAAGGTTAATTGGCGTGGATAAAGGATTGAGGAAAGCAAAGTTAATATTAGCGACAGCTTCAATCCAAGCAATCTTCCCATTGTGTTCAGCTATATAGCTAACTATCGCATTCATACATGTGACCTCCCCCGCTCTTTCCGGGCCGTCGGGACCACTTCGGGATAGCCGCTAAGATCCCGAATACTGTAGCCGACGGTTTTTGTGCCAGAACAAGATGGTTTTTTTCTGGAATTCGTCCAGGCTCATGTCGGCATTGGATCCACCCCATCCGCTGGTTTTGATGCCGCCTTAACGGAGACTGGGCTCATCGTGAAATCTCATGCTGTTGATATGAACTGACATGGTTTTCATCTAATTCACCAGCGCTAATCCTCAGGTTGTATCGCAGATATTGTGAGTAAAATCTGGTCCGTGCAGTCCATATCCCGTATCATTGCTGATGCTGATGGCCTGCTGATCAGCTTCAATCAATTTCAGACTAGCTGTGAGGCCGAAACCCTCAAATGGCACGGCCCAAGACAGGCTTCGTGGCAGAACAGGCAGGGACCATTTTTGCTGCTGTTACGTCCTTGCTGGTCAACTAATGGGTGACACTAGAGGATATCTAAATGACTTCTCCTGTGCCAGGGATGGTGTTGATTATATTTTAGTGGGAATTATGAAGGGGGAGGTCTCTTGGGTGTATACTGCTGTGTTATATATTTGCTGTTTGTAGGGGAGTCTAATGCCGTGGTCTGGTCACTGCATGGCCCCCAAACTATGTATTTTCTTGTATAACTAGAGCGAAAAACCAGCATCAATCACAGCATTCATCCCAGTGATTGACCGAGACATGGAAAGAAACTTTACGTGTTCCGCGACGTCCTATGTCCTTGTCAGCAGCACTATATAGAGAGTTCGCCAAAGAGACTCACCTCGGGTGTTGCGAGTCGCTTTAGCACATTCTTCTCCTCAACGGCCTGGATCTTCTCAGCAGGAAACCCCTGTCCCCAGTCCTTGTCTTCATCAGCATGTAGTTTGAAAAAGCCAAAGGAAAGACTAACCGTCATGAGAACTCCTGGTGCTACCGAGTTGACACGGATCTTTGGCCCAGCGATGACTGCCAAACTCTTGACCAAGTGGATGAGTGCCGCCTTGGTTACGGCATATGCCTGTGTTCATGTTAGCGTCTACTTTGCGTTCGTATAGCGAGCAAACACACCAATGAGCTTCCACTGGGCTTCACTCCGGCCACACTTGCCGTGGCAATGAATACTCCTTCGCTGCTTTCTAGGTACGGCTGGCAGGCCCGGAATAGACGGAAGTGGCTCTTGACGTTGACATCGAAACATCGATCCCAGTCTGCCTCATTGTCCGCATCTTCCAGGTTCATAAAGTCGGTCATGCGCGTCCATCCTACATTTGAGACAACAATGTCTAGGCGGCCCATTCGATCCACAGTCTGTTGTACAAGTCGCGTCATTTCCACCCGACTGGCTATGTCAGCCTGTATAGCAGTGAACCAAGGGCCCTGACTGTCGACTGTGCCATCGCTGGACTGACTCCGCAGCTCGCTCAGCTCGGCGATTAGCTGGTTAGCTGCCTTAGCATTGTTATGGTAGTTAATAACGATGCGTGTGTTGCCCTGGGCAGCAAGGGCGCGTGCGACAGCAGCACCAACTCCACGTGACGCTCCGGTAACGAGTGCAACTCTAGGGAAACCCATAATTCCTACTTGTCTCTAGAGAATAAGGGAGTAGAAGCTAATTGTATGACCTGGTCGTTGAAGAGCCGGTGTGGAGGGCGTTCGGCTCCACCAACCCGGGGTTTTACCCCCAACGAAGGCCCGAGACACGAGCGGGCATTTGAAAAACCCCATGAATCTTTTTGGAGCTGTTGTTGTCTTCATCCTCCTCTAGAATTCGAACAGCCCATCGCCGCAAAATGGAAGACAATGGATTGCGCTCCGTTAACCGATACATCACCAACCACGACGCCAACGGCGTGACGGGCTTTCAAGAGCAGATCCCCGAGGCCCTGAAATGGCAGCAGATGGCGAACGGAGCCCGCTTCTCCTTGGCATATGCGACCAACGAAATCCCCGTCCAGCTCAGTGATGACAAGGACCTCAGCGTCTACAAGTCCAACCTAGAAGATCTGCCTGGTATCACCATCCCCGGCGGCACCGTCATGCGTATGGTCGACATGAACCCTGGATCCATCTCGCCGATGCATCGCACTATCAGTTTAGACTACGGGGTTGTCTTGGAGGGGGAAGTAGAGTTGATACTCGACTCTGGGGCGACACGACTACTCAAACGGGGGGATATCGCGGTGCAGCGTGGCACCAACCATGCATGGAGGAACGTGAGCAAGACAACTTGGGCACGCATGCTATATGTTCTACAGGAGGCAAAACCGCTGGAAATCAATGGGAAGGCTTTGGAGGAGGATTACGGCGGTGGAATGGATGACGTGAAGCCGTCGAAATGAAATACCAGGGGACGATCGAATGTGAAATAGAGACGCTACTAGACTATCATGTATACGGATTGGTAGTTAACTTCGCCACTTGCTACTATAGTAAATTACTATCTGGCGTAGGAAATAGCTATCCAGAACTCCTTCACGGATCGTCCAAAAGCTCATCAGCCAGCGTATTTCACCACGGAGCTGCGCAAACCACAGAGCTGCGCACCCCAGAACACGTAGTAAAAACAATAAATCACGAAGTGATATTTCGACAACCAACCCTTTTATTTAATTTCATTGCTCGTCGATAGCAATTGATGACTAGGTATTTTTGGTATTATGTAGCAATTTTGAATAAATTGAGAAGTCGCATTGTTATGGTATCGAAAAACACATTTTTGAACTTCAGAAAGAATATATATCTCATAGATACCATATAAAAAGCATTAGACTACAAGTAAAGCTCATATAAACAACCGTTGTTGAAATACCATGTTGTACTTTATCACTTTTACACTGTGTTCTGGGGTGTGCAGCTCCGTGGTGAAATACGTCATAGTAGGAGCGGCAGGATGTAAAGCCCCCAGGAGGGATTGTTGTTCAAGTCGGAAAGAAGTCCGATATGAGCTACCTAAAAGCTAACACGGACTTTGTTCCGATCAGCTGAAAGAAATATCCTCGGGCGGTTAATGGAAGCACAGCCTTACACCTGACGCCGGCAAGGTGGAGCCGACTGCGACGGAATCTCTACTCATTTACTATACCATCTTGATCCTCATAAGAGATGGTACAGCCTCGATATTAGTCCTACGTCGAAGCAAAAGGACACAGCTCAATCGACATTCTCGTCAAATAATCTATCTACCCACAACATGCCCGCCAGGTTCCTCAAGTCCAAGCAGTCCCCTGTTCCGGGTTCAGCGCAGCCGGACGTCGGCTCTATTGTTCGCAGCGTCATTGATGATGTGCGTGCCAACGGCGACGCTGCTGTGCGCAAGTACTCCGAGAAATTTGACAAGTGGTCTCCGGCCTCGTTCAAGCTCTCCCAAGCAGACATTGAAGCGTCCATTGCGCAGTGTTCCGCGCAAACCATTGAGGATATTAAACAAGTGCAGGATAATGTTCGCGCTTTTGCCCAAGCTCAAAAGGATTCCCTCAAAGACTTCGAGTTTGAAAGTCAGCCAGTAAGTGCTCTTCATTAGGTAGAGAGGTAACAGAAATGCGGAATGGATTCTCTAACCGTTGTAGGGCGTTATCCTTGGTCAAAAGAATCTTCCTATCAACACGGTCGGAGCGTAAGCCATGCTGAGCATCTTAAACAGTCATGAACTTTCTCGATCTAACATTGGATAGCTATATTCCCGGCGGACGATACCCTCTCCTTGCATCGGCCCATATGACTATCCTGACGGCGAAGGTTGCAGGTGTCCCTCATGTTATTGGTTGCACACCCCCCATTGCTGGCAAAGTACCGCATGCCACTGTTGCGGCAATGTATTTTGCAGGCGCCGACGAGATCTACCTGCTAGGGGGTGTACAGGCAATCGCAGCAATGGCCTTGGGCACGGAATCTATTCGAAAGGTTGACTTTATTGCTGGACCCGGAAATGCCTTTGTCGCGGAAGGCAAGCGCCAGTTATTTGGTGAAATTGGTATTGACTTATTTGCTGGTCCAACAGAGATCCTTATTATCACGGACGAGACTGCCAATCCATTCACTGTCGCAACAGACATTCTGTCGCAGGCAGAGCATGGACCAGACTCGCCCTCAGTGGTGATTACCACTTCCGAACATGTTGCGCGCGAGTCTATCCGTATCATTGATGAGATTCTCAAAGGTTTGAGCACGGCGGATGTCGCTGGTGTTTCATGGGCACAACATGGAGAAGTGATTGTCGTGGACTCGATCGAGGAAGCTTGGAAGCTGGGGGATGAATATGCCAGTGAACACGTACAGGTCTTCACACGTCGCCCACGCGATGCGCTGGACAACATGACCGCTTACGGTGCTCTCTTCCTTGGCGAGAATACTTGCGTTTCCTACGGTGATAAGGTCTGTCCCTCGCCACACCTGTGATGATGAAGGTTCCGCAGTGATTAACATTGACTAGGTGATCGGAACCAACCATGTCCTGCCTACTCGAAAGGCTGCCAGATACACGGGAGGCCTGTGGGTAGGCAAGTACCTGCGCACGGTGACATACCAAGAAGTCAGGAACGACGTGGCCAGCGGCGAATTGGGTCGGCTTTGCGGACGGGCAGCTCGGGTGGAGAACTTTGAGGGCCACGCGCGCTCCGGGGATCTCCGCGCCCATCGGCACTTGAAAGATGAGTTTGCCTGGATCAGTACTGCAGAGGGAAATTTGTAGTCGTTGGTCAGGTGTGCTTAGTGGACTACCTGCAAACTAGCTTTCTCTATTCAAATATCAGAGTAGTGGTATCCATGAACATCCTCGTTTCTTTAACTGAATGACTAGTAGATTATTAAGCCCTGGTTAATCACCACGGAAATCCCAGTTAGTTAATATCAAAGAATATTACCAAAGTCTTGATTATTTTGAATCTCCAGAACTCATATCCGATGTATATTTAAGCCCAGCCTTTTCACTATAAATCAAGACGTCAGACTTTTATGCTTTCAACATCTCTTCACTGCCTTAGTAGTACGATTTCTGGAGAGAACTTCGGGATTCATAATTCATGCTCTGCTAGATTGAATATATTACACTAAGGTCGGGTGGTATGCGCCAGGGCGAGGATAATCTCTCTAGGAGGGAGGGGGAAGGAAAAGCGCGACTAGCCCATAATCCGCCGCCCGCAGAAGTCACTGGAATCCTGTATTGAGAAATACCCGAGACAGGAATTTCCGCAGAGTTCGGAGTTCTGAGCGATTGAGGTCGACCCCCTTCATCCGATGTGGTCCCGACAGCCCGACATACCCGCCCCGGATTACATTTTGAAGAGGGAAGGGTGGGGGAAGGGGGCTCAACGGGCCGCACAAGACCAAACGTATGAAGTATGAAGTAGTATGAGGCAGACATTTATTGAGGCCAAGGAGCTGCTCTCTAACATCCTTTTTGCATTGTTGAACATCGCCTCCCTTGCTTCAACTGACTTCACTCACACGATGACGATCACGAATGGAATTTCCGCCCATGCCTCTGACGAGACGAGACCCCTAAAGGTCTTGATCGTTGGTGCTGGCATTGGCGGGCTAACCGCAGCTATTGCACTACGCAACCAGGGACATGACATTCAAATTTTTGAGCAATCGCATCTAGCCACGGAGACGGGGGCAGCGATTCACTTAGCACCTAACGCAAATGGCCTCCTCCGGCGTTTGGGTGTTTTTGCAGAGCAGTTTGGCGCCAACCCCATGGAACGAGTAAAGCCCTCCCTAGCTAGTGTAACACTGTGGACGCGTCGCTAACTCAGTTCCCAGCTCACGGAGTATAGCGCGACAGGAGAAGTGCAACGGGTGTTAGACCTAACGGAGTCGAATAAGAAGTGGCAACACCCATGGCTCCTGGCGCACCGCGTTGACCTCCACAACAATTTGAAAGAGATCGCTACGACTGCCACGAAAACCCACAACGCAATCCCCCTTCGAACGGCTTCTCGTGTTGCTCAGGTCGACGCCGAGACAGCAACCATCACTCTAGAAGATGGCAGCCAGTTCCAAGGTGACGTGGTACTCGGTGCAGACGGTGTGCATTCGGTCACCCGGTCTGCGGTGCCTGGGGGCCAGGTCAGGGCAGAGTGCCGGGGCAAGAGCGCCTTTCGATTCCTAGTCTCCAAGGAGGTGGCCATGAATGATCCGATCACAGCCAAGCTCGTCCAGCACCCGGGTGAGCTCAGCATCTGGTATGGCAGCGATTCGCGTATTGTCATGTATCCTACTTCCCACAATACCGTTCTGAACTTCGTGGTGATCCATCCGGAAACCAAATCTGCGGCAGATACCAATGGCGGTGACTCTTGGGGCCAAGAGGGCAACCTGGAAAGGATGTTGCAGATCTTCGACGGGTTCGACCCGACCATTCTTCGACTCCTAGGCAAAGCCGACCCCCAGAGTGTGAAGGTATGGAAGCTGCTGGACATGGACCTCATCCCCCAATGGCATCATCACCGTCTGGCTCTGCTCGGAGATGCGGCCCATCCATTCCTGCCCCACCAGGGTCAGGGCGGCGGGGTCGCAATTGAGGACGCCATATCGCTGGCGGTAGTCCTATCTCCAGGGATATCAACCGCCAA